CTGAGGAAGAGCCGTGGATTGAATGATACTTACTTCAAAGACCCGGATATAAAACTGCAAACAAATCTGACGTCTCAGCAGCTGATAAAGTTTGCTTGGCAAATCGCCGATCGAATGGGTTACTTGTACTCAAAATCTTTGAATACTAGTAACTAAAACACCAGGGCCCAGTTGTTCAAAGGCCGATTTGAACCCTTAGTTAAATTTTAATCCAGGTTTCTTCGTCTCTATTCAAGAGCCTTTTCGGCAAAATTTTTCTCAACCTTTTTAGAAAAATCAAACATGAATTATAGGCAGAAACAATTACACTTAATTTTCTTTTAAAGCTTTCGGGTCTAAAATTAAATTTCCCACTGCGCTTAGCTTAGCTTAAACTAGCTTTGGATAACCCGGCCCAGAGCGGTTGGTATAATTCTAACGTATGCAATTCTCCCTTCCAAGACTTCTTTCCAACTTCAAAAACTATTTTTCATAACGCGTTAAAGCTTCATTTTTGTAATTTTGTTTTTGTATGTAGGTGAAACTCTTTAGTGAGGTTACTTTTAAATCCTAAGCAGAAGCGGATCCAGGAATTTTTGATCGGGGGGGTCCAAACCTTGGTTCAGAAAGGACTGTTGGATTCTTTGAGGCAAATTAATTCTCCCCCACACCCCCTTCCACCAGTCGCGGTTGCACGTTATAATTTCTTGGCCACTTACCTTTTATTTGGATTCATTAAAAAAATCAGCCAGTTAAAAAGTGATATACGATCCTGTCTCAAAGTTGTAAGTGTCAGGTTTGATAGGGGGGTCCGGACCCCCCGGGCCCTCCCCCTGGATCCGCCACTGCTAAGGGTCGTCTTCCCCAGTAAAGTGAACGGCTTATGAGTTGTGTTATGGCATATATATACCACCAAAAGCCATGTATAAGTAGACATTTATTACTCGGGCGTTGTAATATCGCTACGCATTCGCTTTCAGTAGAGTCAATTCCTGTTAACTTGTAGATTACATTGTAGCATCCACACATGTTCCACAGCATCAAATGACCAGGAGTTTTGGATTAAAGCCGGTCGCTGGTTAACCTTCCAGTATTTGTTAGATTTCCTTCACTATTTGCTAGAGCTGTTTCTAAAAGCGCTTCCTTTGTTGATGTAATATGTATCATCAACTCTGTTGATGAAAACCAATCATGTTTCTATATTCCTCTCTCTTTATTCATTTGAATTAATGTCACCTGACTTATGGACATCTGATTGGCTTGTTTTTGGTTACGCAACCAGTACACATCAGTGGACTCCAGTGCGTAGTTATCTTGTATACTGAAAGGTTATATTGAGATATATATCCTCCATACATTTCACATTTTATGAGCTGAAAAAATCTGCCAACCTAGATGATACGTAAGGGCAAACACTTAGTTTAATAATCACATGATTGTGTTGTTTTTTTCTTTCACAGAGTCTGATCAACATGAAAATGTGCGACAAGCACATGTATGCGAACGTTGAGGAATAAGTCGCGTAGACTTGAAGTCATCAACCTCTTCTATAATGTCTCGCACAGCTGTTGTAATAAACGGGTAGTTTCTTATTCGTAACCGGCTGGAAATAAAAGCTTTTCTAAATAAGATTAAATTGAGTAAAATATAGAAGTATGCTCGAATTCGTTTTTAAGGAAGCTTTAGACTGTTTTTGTTTCTTTGCGTATGCGAAGGTTCAGGTAAAGGAAGTTACAAGAAAAGTAGAGCCGCCAAAATTATTTAGTGCTAACTGTAGTTGTACCCACACCCACACCCCCACACACGCACGCACGCACGCACGCAGGGTGTCATATTTACTTTTATCATCCCATGTAAACCTTACTTCTTCTTGTGTGGTTGCAATATACAATCCGGCCTGTTCTTTCTCCTTTGTCCGGTTTTCAATTGAAGTCAACTGATAGCTTTACTCCCATGGTTATCCTCAGGAATAAACATTAAAGATATCAATTTGCCGATTTGTCGGGATTATCAGACAATTGCGTGCTACCAAAGCAAGGGAATATAAACTCATGAGAATACAAACTGTATAATATATCCTCTTGGCCAAAATTATCAATAAAATGCAAGGAAAAATAGCCAAGAAATATCCCTTTATTCAAAAAAAAGCTAACAAACAGAACGATCAGAAGCAAAAACGAACGCATTTCTTGCATCTACGAGACCCAAGCGATATATTTGCCGTCATTGTTTACATAACTTCATGGCCATAAAATCGTCCAGCATTGTTAAAAATTCTGTAAGTTGAATAATTTAAAGGCAAAATCTTCGATCGAACAATACCTTAAGAACATATGGATAAAAAAATATTACTGACCAATCCAAAGATTGGCTAAAATGTCGCAAAGCCTCACTCGAAGTCAGCAAGCTCTGTTTACATTTTCCGGCCGTAGTAGTCCTTACGCTTTTGAGAATTGCATTTTTTTTTACCCCAGCGCTAATTCCTTCGCTTTTAGTCTTAAATTTCAGTTATTCGTGGAATATGTAGTTTTCGATTAAGCTCTAACGGTCTGCCTTAATCTGGATGGAACAGAATTTTAACACAATGCTACACCATTCTGATACTGACTCTTTCCTGAGGTACTTCTTTACCGTAGATTACTTTCTTTGATCAGGTCTAAGTGAGTTCGCAGACCCCTGACCATCAAATGTCATGTCTTCATTAAAGACACTACTGAACATATTACTGAAATAACAGTAGAAAGTGTCATTCTCGATGTTTACCCTCCATAAAATTTGAAAATTGACTACAGAAAATGAAAAAATACATGTATTCAATTCAAATAACAATAAGGAAACAACAAGTCTAGAATGAATATCAACAGACCTAAAAATATCATTATATTTTAATTGCTTTTACTGACATTAATTTAAACATAAACTATAGGTAACTGTCCGGGCGCAAAGATGTATTTCTCTGAACTGACCGTTTAACCAGATATCATGCCAAAGTCGTATTGTGCTTGAGGCTCATCATTTGTGTGGTCCTGCAAGAACAAAAAGCTTCCCACATCAGCAAGGTCCGAGCACTTCTCTATTGCTTCATACTGTGAAGAGCCTGTCCACAAGAAAACCGGGCTGGGAGCGAGAATGCACAGATTACAGATTGGCTCAAACTTTGCAAAAATACTAAGTATCATGAGTTAACAAATGTGTGCAAACAATACATTCCTGGAAGATATGGAGTCCCCCTGGAAAAACCCCATTTCCTGAATTTAGATTAACCAATTAACTAACTTTACATTGCCGATGTGACAAACAGAACGTGAAATTTATGTCTTCAAAGAGATTAAAGGGCTATCTGCTAGCGCACAAAATTTAATGGCGGGATTGCATCCCGTTATGTGTCACTAACACGTGGCACTGCTGCCTTCTGTCCACGACTGGTCAGTTCACCAAGCTCGGCGTACTGAAGTTCACCCGGCATAGGTGTCTGAAAGTGATATCTAAATTAAATCGGTAAAGAAAAGAACTCTACATCCCTTGGTGGTAATTACAACGACATGGAAAATTGCGGGAATAACTCTACCTGCACTTTTATAACTAAGTACGATATGTTACAAAACACTTTTTAATGTGGGTCTCTGTATCTGTGAGGCAAACACACAATGAGGGGACTTTCTCAATTGGTGTCGGTGGTTGCTGCTTTTGCTTCCTGCAGGTGCATGTCCAAGTACACGCAAACAAGCAGTAAACACTTAGTCTTATAATCGTTCTTCATGCTTATCATAGGAAATGAGGTTTTGTTTCTCACTTAAAGTAGTCCTATAATTGCCTAATTCACCTTATCCTTTCTTTAAGTGATCAACGCTTACGTGAAACCACTTTTACATGAAAAGCGAGCAAGCTTTTCTCAGCGTGTATGCATTAAAGTAATGACAGAAACTGCAACGGCGCTTACGATAAAATATGCAGACTTATCTCATGACTGTACCTTCTTTTTCTTTTTAGTTTTGTCGACCACCGCATATTCTAGAATTCCCTGTTCGTTTCCTACATTGCCCCCTTTTCTAGGATAATTGGCACCTGGACCCACACCTGCACAACTGATGTCGACTGAGTCATTGCCTGGTTCTTGATCGCCGTGCCTATGAGGTACAGCAACACTGCGTTACTATGGGCGTATACTCTGAAGCAGAGGGAATAAGTAGATCCTCAGTTTTTCTATTTTAAGAGCCGGAGGGTTCTCAAGTCACTTATGATTTGGAAAACGAGAATACTTCCTAAACTTAAACTGTTGGTGCGATTTTCACAAGAAGTAAATCTCTTCTTCTATTGCTTATTAAAAAATTGTCATGCATTTGGAACTCTATGAGATTAGACTGTAAGATGTCAAATGGCTTTTTTTCAAAGAAAGTATCATGTTGAGTGAATCACCAATAATAACAGTTGTTCTGAACTATCGTTAGTATAACACACATGCTATAAGTAATAGTCAATACACGCACAAAAACAAAAAAATTAATGGGTAATAAAATGGTTTCGCTGAAGTGACAGAGGCGAAAGTTAGCTGAGAGACGTTACTTACATAGATCCGTCTTCTCCTCTATTATTATGGACTTCTTACCGTACCGTGTAAAAAAAGATACAAATATATAATTAATAAATATATAAATACATACAACCAAACATTTATCAACATACATCTTTAAAGATTCCCACCTAGGCCTCCGTGGAATCAAATTACTTAATATAAGATAAATTGATAATTGATAAATAATATAAATAATTGATAGTATAATGATAAGTTATACGTAAAACTGTCGCAAAATCCATTCAGTTTTTGAGCAGGCCTGATCACTATTCTTTTATTTCCATATAAGTTAGCCTTTCCGGCCTCGACAACATGTTTAAAAACAAAATC